GAGAACATGCATCTCTTCTGTGATACCAGCCTCTCAAGGTTAGGGGGTATGCCAAACATCCTGAGCTCCTCTCATTAGGAACAGTGTCCTTTTATTCAATTCAATGGGATGGCATATTGAGCCTGGCAGGTCAGTCTTATGTGAGTGGCCAATAACTGGCTGTTTTGTTAATTGCAAGGCATATTTTGCCAAATGATTTCATCCAAGAAGACATGTCAAACAACTTTTGATTCTTTGACCTCCTAATATTTATGTTATTCAGATGAACTCGCTGAAAATGAGTGGAGTGAGTCATAACCATATTATTCCAGGGATACTCAGTATTTGATTCTGAAAATGGGGAGCAATGGGACTGACTGTGGTATTTGTAAAGACAGGATGTCACTCGAGAAAGTAGATTGGTTCTGCTCACCAAGATGCGATCAGGGGAAGACTAGCTTTGCGGATCAGGACTGTGGAGATGATTGTGGACACAAATGGTCAAAGGCATACATGGAACCTACTCAACTTAGCCAGAGCACATTTTATGTTCATTTACACTTTTAGCCAGCTGACTATTTTTCATGTCTCAGCATGTTCAGATTGTTGGCTTACTGATTAGGCTCACAAGTAAAAGTGAGACCCTTTTGTAGTGTTGCTAGTGGATTACAGGACTAACACTTGCCCTATAGACAGACTAGGGTATATTAAGCTTTGACTATGCAATTGTGAGGGAAGTAATGTGGGCCATGTATTATAATGGGGTGGGAGGGCGTACTTTTTAAAAATGCTCTTGTGTTGAGGGTCACTGCATTAGAGGATAATAGTTTTAAATGAAGCCACATTTCTAACAAGGGACCAGATAATGAGGATAAATAAAATCTGCAGACAGTCTCGAAGCTTCATTTTAGCCATTATTTATAATCTCTTTTTCTACCAAACCTTTTACTATGTAGCAAAATTGATTAATTTGTGTGTATCTCTTTTCCCCCCCGTGCCCACATGCTGTCTGATAGAGGAGTGAACAAATAGAGAAATGGACAAGAGAGGAAAGAGGATGGGGCTGAGGCCAGGTGGAGATGGGTATGCATAAATCCCCCAAACTGGATAATCAACCCCAGAATAATCAAGATATATTTTAAGGTCTTAACATTAATCTTGATATTTAATCATTCTGAACAATGTTAAAAACAAAAGATTGTATAATAGCATTAATAAAAATCACTTGCTGTGGAATGATTCAGAATAAATGTGGCTTTCTTTTTAGCATGAAATAGGAATCTGTTGAATTGGTCTTAATGTTCTCTCAGCACACACAGATACAGCTCTGTTTAATTCCATATCCTCTTATCTATAAGTCCTACATTTAATTTACTACCATTGGAGTTGATTTATAGCTTTGCTTTGCAAAAGTACAGCCTTGATTAAAAGAATATTATTGCAACTGATGGACCCTGAAAGCATTTTTTTCTTAGATCTTCTAATAATCTTGAAAATAACCTGCAGACTCCCATAAGGCTAGATTTGCAAGTCTCCAGTTTTTGCTTACCTGGGTGTACTTTGGACAGTGGCAGGATTAGTTAGGGGTATGTTTGGTGGCATGGTATTCCTATATGCTATCTCTTTATCCATTCTCAGAAACAAAGTTTCTGTGATAGAATTTTAGAACAGGTGTGTTCCAGGGAATCCCAAGTCCTTGGTTAGCTAGATCTTTTATCTAGCTTATAACTACAGCTATAGCCTTTGTCTCTTGGGATGCTGCTGGGCTGAAGGATTCTCCAATCTGTGTAAGGAAGGATTCAATTATTATGCATGGGGGTTACAATTTGGAATTGTAGCTGTGACAAATGCATCCCCTGAAACAATATGGAATTAGTTTTGGTGCTTGTTTCACTTAATTTGCAAAGCCAGTGATTTCCACAGGTTGGCCAGAATCAGTCATTCTCCACAGCAGGCTATTTTCCACTCTCCTGTTTTGACTGTACAGTATGGCTATTTGGTGGCATCTGTGGTTCTAGGAGTAAAGAAAATGCTGTTGTTTAACAGGTGACAAAAGAAAACTATTATGCTTTTGATTCTGTTTAAGAACATTATTATCATTCTCCTGACTGTGCTAGTTGAAAAAAATCAGTCACTCTGGTTTTGGCTTTATAGCTTTGTGGGAAAGTTTTTTCACTTGTGAAAAAAGTTGTTTATCACAAATGATTCACTTTAAAACCACCATACTTACTTGTGGACACAAATGGTCAAGCAGGGGCTTTCAATTGTTCAGAATCATAGGAACCCAGAAAATAATTAAAAGTTATAAATGTAGTACTAAATCAAAATGGGAGAATTTTTTTTTCTTGTCAGATTTGATGGTGGGACCTTCTCAAAATGCAAAAATAAATAAAGCAATAGTATTGATGAGTAATTTTATTTTGGTTAATATGTCTTATGTATACATACACACACACACACACACACACACACACACACACAGCTTTATTGAGATGTCATCCACGTACCATACAGTTAGTCTTAAATTCTTTTAATTGTTAAATTACTGGACTTTTAAGAGCTCTTACATTTTTGTCAAAGAACACAGAATATACCCCTATGAAGAAAGGACTTGTGTGTTTAAATTACCCTCCATTTGCCTAAATCACTTTTTTTTCCTCATACACAGCCATAGTTTGTCAGAGCTAGTTGTCAGAACTAAAATAGTTATATTTCAGCTAGAATAAAAATTATCTGGGGGGTTGCTCTTTTTCTAAAATATACTTGCTGATATACAAAATCTTCCAAAATTCGGATAAACTTTGTAGCCCCATCCCCACCCTATGCCAGTTAAATATCACTGATTTCATCTGATACTCTCATCTCACAGAGAGGGGGAAGTTCTTTCTCTCATTATTTTGACTAGACACCTTAATAAACACCAAAATTCTTTGCAATCTTAACATGACAGATTTTTGATAAATAGATTTGAAGATTCAAAATTCACTTCAGTGAATGATGGAGCATAAATTACTTATGCTGTGTGTTTTAAAAAACAAATTATGAAGAATCTGGCTGTCGAAGGAAAAAATTCAAAGTCACTGATCAGGAAGTTAATATACAGAAAGTGATGCAAATTTGTCTTTGTCTTAGTACTATGTCAGGCACTGAGGAGATTTGTGTCCTTTGTGCTGGCAATGCCTGATAGCTAAGCATTCATTTTTCTTTGCAGCTGTTCAGTCACTATCCACAGGGTATGGGAGGTCTTATTATGTTAGTTTTTAAACAGCTGCCCTGGTTGCATTTTTAGCAGAAGGAGATTCATAAGACTACTGATATTAAATAGATAGAAGAAATAGTCACAGAGATATGCTTTAATAAAAAAGCATAAACTGCTCAGAAAATCTGACAGGCTCTAACAGATGAATGTGTAAAGACCTGGGGGGGGAAATGAAATGAATTTCCCAGAGGACTTTTTATTCCCTGAAAAACTGGAAAATTTCAAGTTAAGGGCAGAAGGAGCAAAAGAGGTCTTCATTGACCCCTTTTCTTCTTCTAGACCTTTTACATCCATACAGATGGAAAGAAAAAAGGTCTATGACTTCACTCACCTGCTCTGAAAAGAAGCCTCCATCCTGGGTAATAATGTTTACCTGGTCTTACGTCTTCCCTCCAAGACCTTGCACAACCTGACCCCTCTCCACTTGGGAACCACTGATCGGAGGCAACTGCAGATTCGGGAGAATGAAATGGTGTTGCTGTTCTTTTGAAATATCATTTTTATTATCAGTGTTTACAAAAAGTTATAACTTTTAATGATCTTTAGCTCTATACACTAATCTATGGGAGACATGAGGGGAAAGGACAGATTCCTTTCAATTGTACATTAATCAAAGAAAAAGTACATTATTTTAAAATCACTAGAAAAAATTGCCCACACTTATTTAGAAGACTACCTTTTAAAGGGCATCACCACAAGTTTGTTTCACATTTTAAAAAAAAGTTACAGTGATATCTGCACTAGTATGTAGAGAAACTGTGCAAAAATGATGCCCTGCCCTGAAGTGATTTGAATTTTTTTTTTTTTTTTGAGTTGGAGTTTCACTCCTTTGCCCAGGCTGGAGTGCAGTGGCACGCATGCTCATGGCCACTCCAGTGTCAACCTTCTGAGCTCCAGCGATCCTTCCACCTCAGCCTTCCGCGTAGCTGGAACTACAGATGCGCGCTACCAAGCCAGACTATTTTTTATTTTATTGTAGAGACAAGGTCTTGCCAGGTTGCCCAGGCTGGTGTCGAACCCGTGGGCTCAGGCAGTCCACTCGCCTCAGCCTCCCAAAGTGCTGGGATTACAGACTGAGCCACTGAGCCCAGCCTAAAATTTTTATTGCTCTTAAATTTAACAGTGCTGTGTGAAAGCAGAGGTGTAGACGGACAGTGAAGTGTTGGTTGTGAATGACCCACTCTAAACCATAATACAGTTTTTTAGAAATGCTATCTGGATGATGATGTAGTATCTGGTTGTTTTCATTATTTTTTCAGTCTTCTCTGACTATGTTTGCTTGCCTATATATAATTTAAGTTTTAAAGGGACTAGACAATTTGGAAGGGAGTCAGCACTGGAAGCTTTGGAACTTAATCTGAAGTGGTGAGTGTACCTACAAAACAAGATAGTTGGTTGTTATCTTTTTGAAGGACGTTCCCTTTGTCTAGTTCCTTATTGTCATGAGCCATAATTTGGGACTCGAGGCAGATTCTTACCATCAACTGTCTTATTCTACACATGGCCCCAGAATGGTGGTTCTAGTTTTCCAAACAGAATAGCATAGTGCATGTTGGGCACGTTCTAATCAGTATTTTCAGTCTCCATGACCATCATAAATGGCCTTCAAATCCAAAGTCAAAGCTTTGGAAAGAGAAAACTGATATGCCCTTCTAAAAACAAGGGGAAAGGAAGGACTGCATTCTCTTGAAAGTTAAATTTTAATATTTTTTTCTGATTCTATGAAAAAGACTGTACTAATAAAACTGCCAATTTCTTTCAGGTGGGTGTACATGGCATTAGAATAGAATTCATCAATGAAAAAGGATCAAAACGCACCGCCACCTACCTACCGGAGGTTGCAAAGGAGCAAGGTCATTTTTGCACTTTATTTCATATGATCTGATGAAGAATTTAAATAAATACACGAACTAAAATGCGATATCTGACCTTGCAGATATGTCTGATAATTGATCAGTGTCAAATCATAAGAGTGACTCTTCCACCACTAACACTGCAATATCTATATCAAATCGGTAAACTTCTCATACAGAAGTTGAATCCCTGCACTAAAGGATAAACACACAAGTATATATTTTTAAAAAAGCAGAGATTTGTAAACGCTGGGTTTTATTTTAGGCAACAATTTGCTACTAATTTGAAATGCCAATTTCCCATATCCTATTGTGCTGTAGCCTTGTGGTTTAAACAAGCCTTTTGATTAATATTCAGCCACATAGTTCACTGCCATTGTCAGTACCAAATGTTTCATTCTTAAGTGGTTGCCATTACTCATTCTGCTGATATTAAGACTGTAGGTTTCCCATTAAGATTGGGAGCACTGAGAGTACATGAAGTATATAGTGTTTTATGTGCTTGGTCTATACTTCCTAATCAGCAAACATTTTCCTCTTTTGCAGATATAGCACAGACCTTTTTGAACCAATACTGTAACACAAAATAACTTTTCATTTTGGTAGTATTTTGTCCTTCCTAGCCACTACTAAATTCTAGTTTCATGTTAATTGAAATGAATCTCTCTTTTACCTTATAGAGCTCTTCCTTTCATCAGAAAGTATTTGTAATTTGTTTTTCCCATGCTTGTTCATATAAATGTGAGATACAAAGCAGCAAAAATTTAATGTCATTAGCCCTCAAATGAGAAAGTCTTTAAGGCAGTTATCTGAAGATTGATTTGGGTTGCTTTAGAAAACGTCTTAATCCTGCAGTATCACTGGCTTCAGAAAGCGTATATAAAAGATAGAGGGCCTGAGATACTGGTATACTATCTGTGTCAAAACTAGTAAAAATGCCCTTGAATGCTGCACATAAATATACTTAATTGATTACAGAAGATGCCATAAGAAACAGCAATTACCATGAGATAGTGTGGGAATCCTAAATACTATTGAGTGGTACAGTGACATTTAGGCTTTTCCTTCCCTTCTAAAGATGTCACTGTTTGAGGAGAGTACAACAGTTGTGGTTTGTTACAGAGTCATTACTGAGCAGTTTCTGCCAGCCTCTTAGACAATTTGCCTTCGAATACGGTTAAGATAAAGAAGCCAATATTGTTAGACATTGTTGATAGCTAGAATTTAAGGTGTGAGCCTGTTTTTGTACACAATGAAATCTTAGTTCTTCTGTGTGATTGTTTTTAAGACCAAAAGAGTTGATGGCATTTGGTGACAGTGATAGCTGACCTCTACAAAGTCATTTTGTATTTAACCAAAAGTGTTTGTTGCATGTGCTTGACTGATGTTTTATCTGGTCAACTTTCCACAGGATGGGACCATATTCAGACCATAGACTCCTTATTGAGGAAAGGAGGATACAAAGCTCCGATTACTAATGAATTCAGGAAAACCATAAAACTGACCAGGTACAGAAGGTGTTTTCTAGTGCAAGGCTAACTGGTACATTTTGATGCATATGCCTGTAACTCTTTGATTTCATTGATTTCTCTAACTTCACTTGCTTCCCTTTTCTGAAACAGAGTGGAAATGAATGGCAGGGCCATACTGAGGGTGAATACAGTGGAACTCTGCTTGGCAGGAAAGCCTGTATGATGTATGAGCCCGTCCTTCCCATCTTTAGCTCTGCGTGATTACTCTGGCTTTTGTACAAGCAAGCCCTTGGAGGCTTTAGACTACATTATTTGCTAGCTTTTGACATTGCTTAGCAGAACCCTAGGATTCTGATAAGTAGTCCTCAAATTTGAATTTAACCTTAGGATTTTGGCAGTGATAGAAGTCTACCATGAGAGCCTGCTGAAAAGCACAATTGAGCTCAACTCAAATGCTAAATAAATTTCGGCATGGTAAAATAGGGATACTTACTTAACAAGGAAAATATCAAACATTTTAGGAAAGTGGGTTGCTGTTTCTATTTCAGTTCCATAAAACCACATGGAATGCCTATAATCTAAAAATGGACTATACTCTCAGCTCTGAGGAGTTACAAATTTGAAAGTGCCTCCATGCCTTCTCTCCTTGCGTTTACAGTCAAGGAAACTAGAAGGGGCATGTACAAAAATAATTATCAATCTAAGGCAGAATATGACAGATATTATGAGATCACAAAGTAGGGAAAGAGGAATTTAGGGGGGGTGGGAATAACAGAAATTTCAAAGAGGAGGTTGATTTGAGACTGAGCTTGAAGAATGGGTAAAATATTTGACAGGCAGAGAGTAGGAGGAGGAAAGAGATTCTCTTAAAGAAGACCTTGTGAGTCAAGGCCACGCAGGTGGCAAGTACAAAGCAAGTTCTGAGGAATGTGAAATAGTCTGATTTGGCTGGTCTTTCAGTGTACGTAGGGAAGGTGATCGTTAGAGGAAAACATGGTCCAGAAGATAGATTGGGTAGACCAGTGAGGGTCTTGAATTTCATACCAAGAAATTTGGACCTGGTAGCCATTGAATTTTAAATAGATGGACTTGGGGAGGTGTAAGAATGGGATTAGAAGCAGGAAAAGGAGCTAAGAAACATCGGTATTACCTAAGAATCTGTGGTAGCAATGCAAGAGGTGCAGTGAGGGCCTTAATTATTGCTGTCACAGTGAGACAGGAAGAAAGCCAGGGACAGATATGAAAATATTGTGAAAGAAATGAAAGGACTGAATGAATCATCACTTAGAAGTAAGGAAGTCAAGGCTATAATCTAGATAAAAGGGGCCAAGGTCATTTCTCTAACCAAGGGAAGAGAGTTGCCAGGCTTATGCATTGATTCTGAATTTGAAGTGCTTTCTGGGATGGCTGTATAAAAATGTCTAGTAGGTCACTGAAAATGCTTAAGTTGTAGAATTCATGGTTAGAGATGATGCTTTGGAATCATCTGTTGAGATCATAGTTGAAGCTATAAGGATAAGGTTCACTGAGGGGGACAGTAGACAGAAACAGGGAAATCCTACAAGGCAGGGGTAGGAAGAGCAGTCAGAGAGGTAAAGAGCAGTCTGAGAGGCGGAGGAGAACCCGTAGAACCAGAGAGTTTCAAAAAAGGAGCGATGAGCATGTGTCATAATGGAAAGGTCAAGGTGAATCAGAAGCAGCCCTCTGATAGCCGTTTCCATGGAAGAGAGGCAACAGAAGCACTGCCAGGAAGCACTGGGCCAAGGAGGAGTGTGAGATGGGGGCTGGAGGCAGAAAATACACATTACTCTTTTGAGAAGCATCACACTGAAGAGAAAGCTAGACATGGGAGAAAGTGAGGGTTCCGGATATCAAGATTAAGAAAAGTGGCCATTCTCATCATTACTTAATGGCAAGACCTAAGTAGATGTGTGGACAGAAAAAGGAACAGTTAAAAGGGGTGAGGAGAGATGGAAGATCTCAGAAGAAAAATAGTCAAGTGGATAAGATGCATACGTGTTGGTAAAAGATTGACTTTCCCGTCCTCCTTCCTGTCAGCAAACCGTGGTTGAGGGGGCAGTACAATTTCTAGAGGAACATTTTAACAAGGAGTAGTAGAGTGGAAAGAGCACTGGACTCAGAATTTGGACTCCCAGGTTCTGATCTCACCTTTGCTACTTACTAGCTCTGTGATCTCAGGCAAGTCACTGCTTCTCTGTGGGCCTCCAATTCCTAATCTATAAATTTATCTCTTAGGTCCCTGCTAGCTCTGACAATGGCATGTCACCTATTTCTCGGTGTTAATTCTTCTCTTCCCTGACTTTCTTTCAGGTACCGTAGTGAAAAGATGACCCTGAGCTATGCTGAATACCTTGCTCATCGCCAGCATCATCATTTCCAAAATGGCATTGGGCATCCCCTTCCACCATACAACCATTATTCCTGACACTGAGCCGCACAACCAGTCACTGGGCCTCTCTGCAGACCTCTTCCCAGGAGACCCTACACCTTCTTGGTCTAGCTATCTCTTTTATTGTACCATTTTATGATGATAGTTTCCGTTGCCATGGTGAAGCTTCGACATCGTCAATTAAAATCATCATGGTAACGGGTAGGAAAATGGCATTTGCTAAGAAGATCCTGTTTTATTATTTTAGATCATTGATTTTTTTTGCAGCATATATAATTTTGGGCTTTTTCTTTCCTTATAATGTTATGTAGAGTTTTGCTTTGCTATTTCAATCAGGTTTTTGTCTTTCTGTCCTTCTTGCCTTCCTTCCTGCTTTCCTTCCTTCTTTTTTCCTTCCTTCGACTGTGGATGGAAGAAAGTGTGCAGTTTTTAGGGATTTTATTTAGGTTTGTCTTTAATTTTCCTCAACAAGATAATTATTTTTTGATAGCTGAGTTTGGGAGTAATTCATATCAAATTTTCAGGTATTTGTATATTACTCTTGAGTTTGTCTGAAATTCACTTTGCTATGAGAGCTTAGTATTTGGGTCTTCACTCCTTAAGCATATGTTTTTTTCCATGGTTAAAATATATGAACTTTAATTCTAGTAGCAAATATTCAAAGGTCCATGACAGGGCTTGTCACAGAGAGTGAGAAATCATTTATGCCTACTGTGCCGGTTACCATAGACAGGAGTTACTGTCTCATCACTTTATAGAACCAGCTTATAGCCTAAAACACTGTTTTAAGAAAGTACCAACTACCTTTCAGATAGTCTGCAGGAATCATTTTGAAGAGCAGCAAATACTAGAAGAGAGCAGAGACAGAACTTAGTGCCTTTGAGAAGAATATAATTAAGTGGAATTAAAAGGGGTTAGAAAAAAGGCAATTTAGAGAAATATTCTTGTACAATTTTATTGTTTCTATATGTGAAACAACAGATTAGACAAATTCCTTACTCTTAAATATTTTTTTAAGCTGAAAAAATTTATTTTGAGCAAATAACCAAAAAAGAGACATTTGTCTATTTTATATTAATTTAAATTTATTAGCTTTAGATTTCAATAAGTCATGATTGGCCAGAGACAATTTTAACTACCATCTAAAGATATGGTAAAGATAATCTAGTGAAACAAAAGTTCATATATGCCATGATTTCAGATATGTTTGTCGTTGGGACAATATTAGAGTTTTAGAGATAAAATAGCTTGAATCTTTCTGCACTACATACTTTTGATAGAAACACACTTAATATCTTGCTAAGATGTAATGTTACACCTGTAAAAATGGAGTTGGCACTCAGATATGCTATAGTTAGGGTCCAGATCATCTGCAGGGTTAGTCTTTTCATGATGCGTACAAAGAGAACTTACTAATGTCAATAGGAGGTCCATACATATATCCCCAGAAAAATGACAGATGATTCTGGAGAAAGATGGCCTTCATTTTATGGTAGTAAATATAAATATATATACATATATATATATTTGAGAAAATATATATATTTTTCAGATAGGAAGTCAGAATATCAAGTGAGGAATAAAAGTATGCTGCAGAATATATATTCTAAAACTATAAGAAATGTCACTGAATATCGAAATGATATAGCTTATACATATAGTTGTTGTGACAAGTGACAGACTGCTAGTTCAGAATTCAAAAATCCTTTTCTAGTTTGTGAGATAATTGGCTGGATTCCTTCTGTTTGCCACTGGGGCAAAACAAACTGCTTTAGTTTTTTATGAGAGTTCTTAGAAGTTGGTGTTCCTTCATCCACAGCATCCATTGTTGAAATAACCATTTTCAGTTGTGATGCCTTAACTGAGAAGCCAATTGTTAGCCTGAGATGCAATCTCGGTAGCCAGTTCCATTGAACACAGAGATTCGCCAGAAAAAAAGTTAGCCGTTGGGCTTTAGAAAGGGATTTTTAGTCCTGTCGTTCCTACTTGGGAGCATTTGGAGCAGATTAGTCTTTCAGCATAAAAACAAGTGGCTACCTTATGGAAACTCTTTCTTGCCCTTATAGGGAAACTGAGCACAAGCTGAATGATATTGTCTGCTGCAAAAAAAAAAAAAAAAAAAAAAAAGAAAAAAAGAAAAAAAAAAAAAGAAAACAAGCAAACTGAAGAGAGACAAAATAGACCAATATTATTGTGAAATCCATCGTATCCATCATCTCATCAGTTCAACAGGCTCCTCGTCCTGGATGAGCTTATGGTTAGAAGTTTTTTTAAAGCAAAGCTCTATTACATATATATGTGTGTGTGTATACATATGCTTACACATACATGCATACATATGTGTGTGTTTATGTATTTAACGGTGCTAATCAATCTTGAGCAGGTCACGTGACTGGTCATGCAGACTCTAAAATCATATCAGATTTTTTAAAATCCTTGATATATGCAGATGTTATACAGATTTTCTTACCAGTGTAATAATGTTATACTGAAGAAATAACCATCCTGCAGGCTTCAAAGGACGAGGTCAGCAATATTTCCCACCATGGCTTGGGGGAAAAGGATAGTTTTGTCTCCTTTTGTATTCAAGTTAATGCACAGTGCATTTTTGTCTCTAAGTAGCTGTTGACTAAAAGACTTTGTAGTGTGAAGGGTGTTATACAAACTGTAATGGTGTGCTTTAAACAACAAATGCTAGACCCTTTCACCTTTGTCATATGTTACAAAGCTGTTAAATATGTGGTATGAATTAACTTTAAACATGTTGAAATATGTAGCATGTGTCTTTAACTCAGACGAAGATTCTAATTGCACAGGTTGTGTTCTAGCCAGTTGTGGTTTATTTGTTCAGAAACACAAATGTGAATTGCACTCTTATCACCAGAATATTGTATGAGTTCAGTGATCTTTAAACAGCTCAGAAGTAATACTTGAACTTCAGTTGAGTAGCACAAAGTTTACATAGCCCCTTTTAAATGTTAATTAGTTCCATTTAAGTTTTCCGTTTTCAAATGCAACTGGGTATTTTTCCTCTTGGAAAATAGTACGTATTTTGCTTTGGTATGTAGCAAAGGCTCCCATTTCTGGAAGGGTTTTCTTGTTCTTAAACAAGGTCAGCCAGGTACCAGATTCTAAAAGAACAAGTGTCCCCTCACCCCTCAAGTGGCCTTTTGACTGCACAAGAATGTGCTACTACCCTCTGTAGTCCCCCCTGCCTTGAGAGGTCTGTACCATTAATGGAGGAAGTGCAAGGTTCTTGCTCATTTCCCCCACTCCACTTAATGCAGTTTTAAGTTTTCAATCCAGCGCATACAGTCCCCAATGCCCAGCACACCGGAAGTTTGTATACTGGCCTCTTTCCGTGTCTTCAAATGTGCAGGAAATCTGAAACTGTCATCTGGAATAGGTTCCATCTCTTATGTGTGTTAGATCAAACCAAAGAAGCCCCCAGCCATGCCCAAATGCTGCTCCAAAAGCCTGCCTTCCAGTCCTTACAAAAACCTTGCAGGATTAAATGTGTTAACTTTTTTATTTTTGTACAGTTTCTAAGTGATTTTTGCTAGTGATGTTAAATTGAATTAAGTTTATTTGAGGGGTGTGAGCACTTCCTCCATTTAAATAAACTGGTGACTTTCCTTTTATTTTTTAAAAGCAGAAGCCTGTGTGTGCCTCTCGATTTAAGGGTTTCTGATTACATTATTCTTAAGACCAGCATTGATCCTTTATATACAAAGATACATTTTCCTTGTTTTTTATTACTGTTTCAGAAGAAAATGAAACTTTTATTTTGCTCTGGGCCCAGTAACTGCGCTGGTACATAGACGCACTGAGAAAACAAACTTTTGTAACCACCTCTGACTGCTTTTGTATATCAAAGTTGATTACTTTTGAAATATTTGGATCTAGTTTCTAAGTTATTTTAGTGTTTTATATGTTCCCTGAAATTACTTTGAATCGGTCACCAGCATAATGAGTTCTTGGTGATACAATGGTGAGACTTGTAATGAGCAAAAAAGCTACCTGGAGTAGCTCTTCTTTTCCTTCTTACTTAGTAACCTGTTTTTTGATTACAGTAAGACATCACAGATTACCTGAAACCCCTTCCAGTACAACTAGGCCCTCCTTCCTTCGACATTTAATTGCTTCATAGTTTGAAGAAACTATTGAAAAATGGGCATTTTATATGAAATGTATGGCTTTAAAATATTAAAATAAGCAAAAAGAAAAAAATATGAGAAGGTTTATGTGGGTCTGTAAGGTATGGCTGTGGAAAGATATTGTAGTATTGACACTATTGTTATTACCTTTAAAATCATTTACCCAATAAAATGTTAAAACCAAGTTATCATTGTTGTTTCTTTTTTTCATTTAAGTAGTTTCTTCATAGCATCAGGGTCTCATCAGTACTTCTACTAGAAGCTTAACAGTTGAAAGTTTTGAAAGAATGTAGTGAGGAACAGATATTGATTTATTTGCAAATTAGCGCTTGGAAGATTCATATGCCTGCAGTTGCTTCCTACCATATGATTTGCTGATGTCATCATTGTGTCTAGCTCTTAGTGATAGAGATAAGCCTTTATTTGGACACTAACTGGCCACAAATCTGAGGCAAACTTCAGGCTTGAATTCTGGTGGGAGCTTAGCTGTGTTTAAACCTGCTCCTGATAGCTTCCGAATCAGTCAGTGGTTATTGGGCATTTCCCCTTTTGAGCCAGTTTGGGAGGGGGGCAGTAGCAGTGCGCTCCAGTGAAACCATCTGATGAGGTAGGAACCCTTTCTTCTGCCAACAAGTGCTGGTAATTTTTCTGAAAATGCCCACAATGTGGCCACCCAGAGCTTGTCCACACCCACGCATACTAGGCATACCAGAGGCTTACACTTATGACCAGTTACTTGTCTGGTCCCATATTTGTACTCCTAATTTAAGCTCAGGGAATACACCAGAGTGTGGAATAGAGTGACTGGTGCTACTGACTTTCAAAGGCCAGAGAGAGTCTCCATCAAAAAGGAATCTCTTGGGATGCTACCTCCATCCGCCGCTGCCTTTCTCTTTCTCTTTGCCTGTTGAAATACCTCTGGCTCTTTCTGAATCATTGTTGTCTTACTTTCATCATGCACATTTATTTCAGGTTTAGTTGCCAGTTGAATATATCCAGGCCAATTTTGTTACATTGCCCCAAAGCCCTGGTACCATGTGAATTTTCTGACATGAGCTTATGTCAATTGCAGTGACTGAAATCAGCCATCTTAGACCCTAGAGGACTATTGTGGTGTTGAATAGTGCTCCATAAAGGCAGCCATCTGCTCAGGGTTTACCCATTTTCATCATTCGTGTTTAATGGGACATGAGATTTTTTAATGATTTAGACAATATGATAGGTTCAGGTGGAATGAAGTAATTTAATGAACCCACAACATTCTTTTTTTATAGTATTAGTGGTTAACTCAATAGTCTGGACAGAGTTCAACTTCAGGAATCACACTCCACCTACCTAAATTCTTCCCAGAGTCACAGCATTTCCTCTTTGGATTACATGCCCCACTGAACACTGTGTAAATAGATCTACTGCTTCCAAGGGCAGGCATGGCTGTGTGGGATGCCACATTTCCTCTCTGTTGATGGGAAACACTGTCATATCCAAGTAGTCCTATCGGTGTGAGCTAGGGGGAGGTCTGCTATAGGGAAATCACACCTGGATTCTGAGCTGCCAGCCAGAAGAGCCAATGAATGACTACCCAATCAGAGAATGGCTTCTCCCACGTTCTGCCACTCTGATGGCATGAGACAATTGTGGGTTTGGGTTGGTTAAGCTCTGATAGCTTCCCATTTGTTTGCTCAGGTTTTTCACCTGCAGGAGGAAGAACTGAATAGGAGGATGCAACTGAGGCAAGCCTTGAGTATACTGTTTGTGGCTACTACATGAAAAGGTCTTCCTTGACACCTGCAGCCCCATAGGACAATCCCATGTTCCAAACACCAAACCTGTGGGAAGAAATCTTTCAAGTATTGGAGGGAATAGCATTAGGTCCCAGGCACTGTTCTGAAGCCGGTCTACCTCCTCATCCCAAGAATTTGGTTACAACCTTGTTTAAAAATGACCACTTAGTAAAGAAAATGTGGTAAACAGACACACTGGAATACTATTCAGCCGTAAGGAGAATGAAATCCTGTCATTTGCAGCAACATGGATGAGCCTAGAGGACATTATGTTAAGTGAAATAAACCAAGTACAGAAGGATAAATATTGCATGTTCTTACTCGTGGGAGCTGAAAAAGTGGATCTCTTAGAAATAGAGAGTAGAATAGTGGTTACCAGAGGCCGGGGTCGGGGACAGAGGGAGAAGTTGGTTAATGGATATAAAATCACAGTTGCATAAGAGGAATAAACTCTAGTATTCTATAGCACTGTAGAGTGGCTATAGTTAACTTATTATATATTCTCGAATTGCTAGAAAGGGTTTTGAATGTTCCCAGCACAAATAAATGATGTTTGAGGTGATGGATGCATTAATTTCCTGAATTTGACCACCATACATTGTATGTATTGAAACATCACTATGTACCCCATATATATGTGCAATTATGTGTCAATTAAAGGTAACTTGTTGATAACTGTTTCAATTTCATTTTTGCATTTTTCTTTTGTATTTCAGTAGCTTTAGGGGTACAAATGGTTTTTGGTTACATAGATGCATTATATAGTGGTGAGAAAGTCTGGGCTTTAAGTGTACCCATCACTCCCATGTTGCGCATATTGTACCTGATCATTGATTTTCCATCCCTCTCTCCCTTCCCACCCTTCCCTTTCTGAGTCTCCAGTGTTCATTATATCATTCCCATATGCCTTTGGAGACCCTTAGCTTGGCTCCAACTTATAAGAACATGCAGTATTTGGTTTTCCGTTCCTGTGTTGCATCACTTAGTATGATGTATCCAATTCCACACAAGTTACTGTGAAATACATTATTTTGTTTAATGGCTGAATAGTATTCCATGGTGTGTGAGTGTATCACATGTTCATTATCCACTGATCAGTTGATGGGCATTTAGGTTGATTCCACAACGTTGCAATTGTGAATTGTGCTGTGATAAACATACGAGTGCAGGTGTCTTCTTTGTATAATGACCTCTCTTCCTTTGGGTAAATCCCAAGTAGTGGGACTGCTGGATCAAATGACAGATTTATTTTTAGTTCTTTGAGAAATCTCCATACTGATTTCCACAGAGGTTGTACTAATTTACACTCTTACCAACAACGTATGTGTTCCCTTTTCACTGTATCCATGTCAACATCTATTGTTTTTTGATTTTTTTAATAATGGCCATCCTGACTGGCGCAAGGTGGTATCTCATTGTGGTTTTAATTTGCATTTCCCTGATGATGAATGATATTGAGAAAATTGTTTCATGTTTGTTGATCATTTGTATGTCTTCTTTTGAGAGGTGCCTGTTCATGTCATTTGCCCCCTTTTTAATAGAATTATTTGTTTCATTCTTGCTGACTTGAGTTGTTTGCAGGTCCTGGATATTAGTCCTTTTTTGGATGTATGGTTTGTGAATATCTTCTCCCGTTCTGTAGGTTGCCTGTTTACTCTGGATTTTTTTTTTTTTTTTTTGCTGTGGAGCTTTTTTGTTTAATTAAGTCCACTTATTTGTTTTTGTTTACAGTATGCATTGTATGTATTGAAACATCACTATGTACCTGTAAATATGTACAATTATTGTGTCAATTAAAAATAAAAATTTTTAATGACTCCTTAATGTATTATGTTCAGAGGTCATTGACTATATCTCAAATTGTTTAAATGGACCCTCCCCTCCAGAAAGCTGGTAGAGAGTGCGTGCTTTATAAAACCAACATTGCCCTGCACATGCAGCTTTCCATCATGACAGATAATAACTTAGTTCGACAGAGGTGAGATGTAGAGAGCTCTCTAAATCTGGAGCATGCAGCTGGGTGGTGGCTGAATTATATGCCTCTCTGCTCACCAACTGCCATGGCGTCCTTGAGCTAATGCTCCCCTTCTAAAAGGATACATCCAGGTCACAAGGGGCCGGTAATTTGTTCCTCCATTAGTCTCCCTCCATGGTGGGAGAAGAATCTTTTTGGTTTTTAATCGAAATCTTAGCTTGCACCTTATTATGTAAAAATCTGAGATTAAAAGCAGCATTTCATTGCTACCAAGCACTAGTTATTTATAACATTAAGGAGAATAACAAGACTGTTTTGATGACTAAAAACATTTGTAATTGGGGTGATGAATGACACCCCAATTTATTTCTGCATGTTGTTTTGACTGTGCAACAGCAAGAAGGTCCTGGCTTGCACAAAGAAGAGGGAGGATCTTGCTTGCTTGTATAATTTCATGAAAGTGGGTATGTATAGGTCTAAAGAGTAAAAACATGGTGCAGTCACAGCCTTTTGAACCAGTGAACCAAAGCTTACAGGAAGTTCAAGCAGGAGAAGCATAACTCCCGAGGTTTGCAAAGAAATGAGTCAACCTGACAGCTCCTGCTAATCCACTGGTGGTCTTCGATTGCCATTCTGCATGTAACTCATTAGGTGTTTGTTAGTTTTTTAATTACAGTTTTAAAATATTATATATTTAAACATATGTGGTTTTTTAAGTTAAACATTTATGGAAACTTGGAGGTATTCCAACAGAACCCCAGGATCTCGATCTGAAAACCACTGCTGGAGTCCCAGTGTGCCCAGTTATTTTGAGAACCTTTGGGAAGCTGTCATTTGATGAAATGACAGCTTTTTTTTTTTTTTGGCCTTTTCCTCCCAAATGTCAGGCTCACCATGATCCATCAATATTTACTGAGAGTCTGTCCCCCCAGAGGCATGGCACTATGCTTAGTTTCGGAATGAATATAGTATAATTTTCTAAGATAAATTAACAATCCACTTTGGGCTGAGTTGTGAGGGGCATTCGAGTTTGGTCAAGTAGGGAAAAGTCCTTTAGACTGAGGCCCAGGGAACACCGGGCTGGCTTTATAGGGTTTCACTAAATGGCTTCCACCTCAGTGCCAGGAGAGCATAGTTATAGCTACCCCTGTGGGAAAACACCATTTCTCTGGCCCTTCACTATTAGCGTCAGAAACCACCCCATACTAGGCACGCTCATGATTTTTGAGTGGACGAGACTGTTTCTGTACCTATAATGTGGCTATCTTGCACCCTAGCAGGAATATGCAAGGTGACTGTATGTGATTTTATAAGAAATAGGTTTATGGACATGCAGAATGGCACTGGGCAGCTTAAAGTTGTGTTCCTTATTGCAATGCTGCAGTCTCAGAGGCAATAGGCCCTTTCCATGACCAGGAGAGAGATA